TCTCTCAGGATTGGCAATCTATACGTTACCGAGCATGCCTCAGTGCTAGCATTACAGATAAATGGTAAATTACCCACCTTTACCAATCTGTTTTAGCTGCTTGCCTGATCTGTAGTCTGCAGTTATATTTACTTCTTTTCTCAAGAAGTAGAGGGGGTCATATAGTGGACTTTGATTTAAAAGTCAACTTATACTTTAAAATAGCTGTCTTGACAAAAGTCACGGCTGTCAAAGGTTGCCCTCTTTTGAAAATGCTAGCTTCCTGATTGTGTCTGGCTTTATTACATTTCAGTTGCATACATGATACAGGTATGCTGTTAATGGGGGTCAGAAAACTGTCAGAGGAAAATTAATGTGTTAGAAATACAAATTAACTGTAAAACAGAAAACCCTTTCTGCGCAACAATGCAGGACTAAAATATCAAAACTATACTGTTTACATGTATTTATCATGTCCTGTACTAAAAATAACTATTTGTTTTATTTATTTTTTTATATCAGGTAACAAGCACCAGACAAAAAACATTTTCTACAACTGTGGTGTGAAATCATTAAAGTAAATAAGTACAGTAAATATAGAAATGATAAACTATTACATGTTAAAATATATTTAGTGCATACACCATTCTAGTTGGGCAACAGGTCAGTATCTGTTCAACAAAGCAAAAACACTTGGCCAGTGGGAAGTCCATGAACCCTGAACTTAGCGCCAAACCCAACAGACATCTACAGGAAGCAAAACTAATCATTTTTGTAAGGCCTTTTTCAAGACTAATAGGTGAGATATTTTTGAAAAAAGGGCATGGGTAACTGGATACTGTCATGGGGGACATGCACCATTGTTTTTTTTTATCATTCATTGGAGAGAGGGCCTTTTCATGCAACCTAAAGGGCAACATTAAAAATACACAAATCATTTAAACAACATGCCTGGGAAATGCATTAACATGCATGTTGTGGGATAATATGATGTAGTCCTAGGTAGCCAGAAATGGGGAGGGGGGGTGGTAAGGGTGTGCCACCCCTTCTTGTACCATATCAGGCCACATTCCTTTTAACATTAGGGGGCAACAAAGCCCCTGTCCCTTGCAAGTCATCGTGTCCCAATGTTGAGGGATGTGGGGATTTGTGGGGGGGCTTATAGGAATCTGGAAGCCCCCTACATAAAATGGGTCCCCAGATATTTGTCACCTCCCAGGGAAATAAGTAAAGGGGTACATTAGTACTACTTATTTTACATTACCAGAACAAAAAAGAACAAAACCAAAAAAGTCAAATGTAAATAAACATAAACACCATAAAACAATCCTTTAATATTGCAGAAAAAATCAAAATAAATGTAAATAATGCTCCCAAATGTAAATCCACCAGTAGTCACAATGATCACAACAATGGATTTTTACCACTGGATGACAGGGATATTACTTACTGTACTTTTTTTGTATATTTTTCTGTAATGACATTAACCACTACACTACCGGATCAATGTTTGTTAACACACATGGTAAAATCTGTGTTTGTGGCTAGAAAATAACTTACAATGAATTTAGGCGCACACAAACACAATATAAACCCCAATTTTTGTGCAAAATAAAATATGAGGTTGTGTTTAGTAAATAGATACCAAGTATGTCAACCCATTAAACACCAAAACGTTATGGTACCCAACATTATTAAAAGGTGATGCTTTGCAGCTCATCAGTCTACCATAAATGAAAGACCTAAAAGTATTTATCTTACTCTGGCATGCGCGGTAATAACTAATATGTGTTGCTCAATCATTGTTTACACATTAAAATTTATTTCTGTCACTAAGGGGCTGACAAGCCTCCTATGTGATAGCAGTGGGAAGGTAACAGGTGCTCTTTAGGGAAACATTACAAATCTATTAGACCCTTAATGCATCCCCTGCCCTCTGCTACCTCTGATCAAGCACACTGATTACCTCCATATCCATTTGGGGAGGGGGGATGTGGGGAAAAACATTTTTTTGCTGTAAATAAAGGTCTTTTTTTTGGTAGTCAGAATGCAATTTTGTTTTTAAGGATATAAAGCATCAGCAGAAATCTAAAGACTGTATCTGTACATATAGAATACAATACAATATATACAACATATGTATTTATATAATTGTACCCAATAATGTGTATATATATATATGTAAATATATATGCAAACAGAGCTGCACATATATTAAAAATGGCAGCATAGTGATGAGTAGAAAAACAGATGGTACACTTGTCAGTGAAGATGCTGAATATTCTCTCTAGAGGAATGCCGAAATATGGTCATGAAAACAAGTGGAAACAGAAAATATAAGCCACTACTATCATTTTCACTTGTACTAGGAAGACATTGCTGCTTGCAAATGGCAAGGAGAAAACTTGCCACTAATCTGCTGGTGAAAACACTCCAGAAATGCAGTGTGACACAAATGTTGGACTGGGGTGTAGAATGCTACACCAATAACTTTTTCCTGATTTTGTATGGAGATACCCAAGTTATCTCACTGTAACATTTTACAGTAACAAAAAAAACTTGAATTAAGGACGCTTTTAGATTTGTGTGGAAAAACACAAGTATGTGGTATGCTGGGACACGTTTAAATCACAGAAACAACAAGGGGCTGATATATGCGGCATTTGAACAGTGTATAGCTGTGCAAAAGATATTCCCAGTACATTCCTGCCACTAGATGGAGCCGAGGAACATAGGAATATGCTGCACAAATGCATATAATTTAGTTTTCTTTTGCTGTTAGATGCTTGTGTAAAATTAAAGAAATACTTAGATGCTGAAATGTTTCTTGGATTCCTTATTCCATTACCTTTGCACTTTTATTTCTTATGTTCTTAATCACACATTCTAATCTTGGCCCTGCCTAGCCTGTGCATTTGCCTGAACGTTTTCTATAAAGGTTGTGTGAAAAACAAACAAACAAACAGTGTCTATGGGGTTAATTACTAAAAGAAAATAGGTCACTTTGCAAGGGAAATCTCTTTGTGAATAATACCCAATTACATGCAAGGAAAAAAAAACAACACAGGGGTCTATTCATGAAGTAGTCAAAGGATCTAGCCGTAGCTTCGGCTGATCCTTTGGCTAGCTTCGGCCCCAGGACCCCTTCGGTTCAGTAGAACCAAAGGGCTGCTGTACGGGCTATTCACTATAGCCCATACAGCTCCCGAAGTCAGTTGGAGGGCTCAGTCGAGCCGAAGGCATATGCTTTGGCTCGACTGAGCCGAGGTGAAAGCCGAAGCTGGACAAGCGGCCGGCCATTGGCCAGCCAACAGCCTGCTTCTGACAGCTGGGCGGAGCCAGCCGTAATGTTACGGCTGGCTCCAGCCTCTTGCAGAGAGATCAGCGTCCCTGGTTACCAGCTAACCAGGGACACTGATCTCCAGACAGCCTAACTCTCCCGGGCGCTCCGGGAGTCTCCCGCTCCCAGCCGCCCAGGAGAAAAACACTGCTTTTTCTTTTTTATTCTGACACCGAGCCGTTGGCTGGCGTCAGAATAATAAAAAAAAAAAAATTCACTATAGGAATGCCTTGCTAGATTCCTATTGGCTATTTCAATTTGCAATAGCCAATAGCAAACTAGCTATTGCATCCACCCACTGCTGCAGTTCTCCATCAGGTCCCCACTAGTGATTGACAGCAGCAGAGGGCAGAGGGTAGCAGAGAATACCATAGCTAGTTTGCTATTGGCTATTGCAAACTGAAATAGCCAATAGGAATCTAGCAATGCATTCCCATGGTGAAAATGTTTTGTTTTTTTTCTTCTTTTTTTTGACGGCAGCAGAACCGCCGGCCAATAGAAAACAGTTGGGCGGAGCTAGCTGTCACTGCTAGCTCCGCACAATCGTTTTCTATTATTTTTTTTCTACTTTTTAAACTATTTTTCTGTTCTGCTCGGTCCCACGAGCCGCTCAGCGGCATTCGGCTATTCACTCACTGCTGTTCGGCATCTATTAGAATAGATCGAAAAGCAGCGAGTAGCCTGCCGGAGGTTCGGCTTAGTCGAATGGATCGGCTAAGTCGAACTCCTTCTGCACTCCGGTGCGGCCGAACATGCTGAGCATGTTTGGCCGACCCAAAGCCACGCGCAGCCACCCGATGTATGGCTGATTTCAGCCAATATACGATTTAAATCAGCCGTACCAGCCTGAAGTGAATAGCCAAACAGCGTTCGGCTCACTTCGCTTCAGGTCGGTCATTCACTCGGCTGCCTACGGCAGCTTAGTGAATAGACCCCACAGTATCTTTGCTTGCACATGATTGAATGATCAAAGTCAGCAGAGCTTCACCTCATTCACTAAATTCCCTTCCAAAGTGAAAATTCCCTTACAGAGGGAACAGCCTATTTGCCTTTAGTAAATCAACTTTTAAGTGTACTAATGAGGGCAACAAACCTCACTTTTGACCAACTGTGTTAGGCACCTTGTCCTTTACATCATTGAAGTGAAACGAAACTCAGGAGATTAATCTTAAAAATGCATTCAAGTACTTTAACCATTTAAAGAAAAACTATAGCTTATTTGTATATCACTCAGCTGTAGATCCTCAAATCATCACCGAATTCATGCTGACACTGTCCTTCCTTCTGGGGGGTGGCTACTTTTTTTGGTAGCTACCAGTGATGGACTACAATCTTAGGTTTAATTTGCTAATTTATATTGAGATTGTATTCTAGCTTGGAGGGGTGGCTACTTTACAGTACACATAGGAATGTGCAAGCAGGTACTTGGTAGGGCCTCCATGATCTACCTAGCATCGGTTTAAATTTTTTATCCAGCCACAGATTTGCTCTAAATAGTCGTTATAATAATATTGTTTTCTGATAAGTGCCACAGTTAGAAGTCAAGTAAAACATGTGGAGTATGTACATGACATCATTAAACAACCATTGACGTGGCATTAAAATAACAAAATAACACAAACAAATGGCAGGTCAACAAGCTGAAACGTCATGTACAGCAAATATTCTAGTAATTGCTTACCTGACTCACAGGCAAATGTCTTTGAAGTCTCATCATGAAAGATAATTGCTACTGCATGTTTCTTGGTCTCTCGAGGCAGCCGTGTTATAGTTTTGATATTGTGCAGTTCGGTTACCTTGAACAAGAAAGACTTATGTTTATTTTCTGCAGAATAAAAATTCATCCAGGCTCTCATGACAACATGCTTTGTCAAAAATAATAAGTTACAATAACATTATTTATTACATTTGCTTGTTACTTCACTGCAAGCTGATTTTATTTGCCTGTGCTTGTAATTTACCATTTGATGACACTTTGCCAGTTTACGAATGAGTGTTGAATATACTTGCCTAATTACAGCATTGCATTCAAGACAACAAGTGAACTGAGCTGGCATACATTTTGTAAGAGAATTAATCATGGTATGTGCCATGTGCACTCTCTTTTGAAAATTATGAACTTTAAACACTCATATTTTCTAAAGTTTACAGAAACTTTAAGGCTAAAGTTTGAAACTGTGACTTAAGATGGAGCTGAAGGGAAATATCTCTGCTTGCAGCAGCTCCAGGACTGTTTTGCTTTAATAAAGTTCCCAGCATGCTTTAGCTTGTGAAGAAAGAAACAGATGCATTCTGGGAGTCATACTTTATTTTACAGACTAAGGAAGATGATCCACTACCATTCTAAGCACGTGTCTGGAGGAAAGCGTCCAAATTCCCTCTGAGGCAGCATCACTGGTAGAACTGGGCTTCCTGTCTGTATTTACAAGCTGTCACTATATTTACCTGTTTTACATGTTGATTTCTGGTTTCTATGTTCTTTTCTCACCAGTTTCATCCCACCCTGTTTTGTTGATAAAGCATCAAGATTACATTCAGTCTGGCTTATTGCAGAAAAGGAGGGTTTAGCGGCATGTCGAGTTACACACAGATCACAGGATATGTATAGCGGGGACAGAACAGTAACTGTACTTACACCTATAGCTATAACTCCTCTATACATTTGCTGCCAGTCTTATACTCACCTATTCCCAATCTGGGGAGATCTTAGCTGTGCTTCATGTCAGAATCTTCTCCAGTAGGCCCCTGTATGCATGCTGTAATCTCCATTTAGTCCTGTAAAAAGTCTGCACTCTGTACTGCACCTGAAGTATGAGCTCCCCATTTTCATGTTTTACGATTTTGGCTAGCTGACTCTGCTCCTTCTCAACACCTGTGCCTCACTATTTGCTGCCTATTACTGTGATGTCCCAATCTTAAATCACAGAATGGGATGGGCCCAGGTAGTGGTCTAGAGGTGGCTTCTTTACAATGTAATTGGAAGTTTCAACTTTCATAGTTAGTAAAATATTTATTTAAAGCACAGGTCCACTTGCCAAGTAAACCAATCTTAAGAGAAACAGGGATGCTTCCACGGCTGCAACAATGCTCACAGCATGGCTTTCGTGCTGGTGTGTTAGCTTTAATACTTTATATCTCTGACATACAACAAGTGTATAACATAGGTCTAAACACATCTCTTTGCGGGGGAGTTGATGACAATGGGCGTGCAGAGACACAGAGCTTTGTGTCCTAAGGGCCTAACAACAGACTCGGTCTTACCTGCTGGTTTGTGCAGAATTCCCACACAGAAGCACTTCCATGAACCCTCCACCACTAGGGAAGCTAAAAGCTCAGTGCTGCAGCTCTATTTTGGCCCCCAAGCTTCAGGACCATGTGCCACATCCAAGATGCTGACTTAAAGCCACACAGGGCCCCAACACACAGCCCAAGTACTCTCCACAAATGGGGCATACTTTCCCCAACGGATAAGACTGTCACAAGGGTTCTCCTTTCCTCCAGATTCCCCATCACCAAGCAATGGAAATTATGTGCAGAATCACCCAAAGGGTCAGAACATTATAATAATATATTATAATATATAATATATATATTATAATAATATAATATTAGAAACCTCCTACCGTTCCTACCAACTATGGCAAACCTGGAGGCTCTAGCTTCAAGTATAGAGGGGCATTAAAGAAGAAGGTAGAGGAGCTCAGGCAGGACATCTGGTGTATAAAAACAGAGGTCTTCACACTAGAAACGACCTCCTCTGTCTTGGAGGAACATGTCAAATCCCTGCAGACTGCATGTATATCCTATAACCACCATTTGCAATCCCCCCATCGGCACGTTGAAGATGGAGAGAATATGAGTCACTACAATAATTTGAGGATAAGAAGCATTGCTTAAGCCACAAATGTCCTAGGCATCAACACTACCATTGCATTAATTTTAAATATACTCCTCAAGAAACCATCAACAGCAGCACTGGAGCTACACACACCCAAAACCTGCCGCATAACCCTCCAAGAGATGTCCTGTGAAGTCTCAACTTTTACACTATAAAGAAGAAAATTATTTATAAGGCCTAGCTCAAAGGTCAGTTCAGTTTCTACAGCGTTACCATCCAAGCACTGCAGATGTTTTTTGCTACACCATGTAGAAAATGCCACATTAGATCAACTGAGGTTAGCTAGAAATGGCGTAACCCTTTTCCCTAATTGTGAAGAAAGACCACTAGAACTTCTTCTTGCGCACCCCTACACAGTCTCATGAATGAGTTTAAAATTTACAGAATCTTGTCAAAATTAATATAAAATTTGACAAATCTGAGCCTTAAATGTCACCGTCCCAGATCAGGAGATTTAATATCTTCAGGAAACGTTTCCTTTTAAATTGACCCCCCTCTGCAATTACATATCCATGTACATGCCTGTCTGGAAGCCTTGTTTCACTCTGAACATTCTGCCACTATTGAAACTCATTATTATTATTATACAGTATTTATATAGCGCCAACAGTTTGCACAGCGCTTTACAATATAGGGAAGACATTATAATTATAATACAATTCAAGACAAGATGGTAAGGAGGGCCCTGCCCATGAGGGCTTACAATCTAAGAGACACATACGACACATACAAACAGACCTAAACAGTTAGACATTGGGACCTTTTTCTTAGTTCAAAAGATGTAATATTCTTAATGAATATGCTCATCAGTATCTGCTCCCAGGCACTTCCATTACAGATTCTGTATTCTTCTTTAGGGTAGAAATACCAGTATTTTTACATTTAGTCTATGCACATAACTAGTTATGTAATCTATTTAGATTCTCTGATACTGTCCATTCTCTGATACAGTCGATACATTTGCCTATGTCCAGAGTGGGAACTGGACCCCCTGACCTATCCTTTTACTATGTTGCCTCACACCTGAACAGGGTACTTGACTGGTGCAGACATAACTCACAAAATTGATGGATAGGGGTAGAACAGACTATTGCTGACATTCCCCGCCAACACCTCCCATGGTGCACTACAGATATACCATTCCACATACATGACCACTCTACTATAAGCCCAATATTAGCAGTGTTCAATAAATATGCCCCACGCTTTGACATTTCTCCGTTCCCCCCTTTTTCTTCCATGTGCCCAGTCCTGGGCCATCTGCAATTCTCAGCAGGGATGTCTGATACCAGTTTCCAGTTCCTAAGGAGAGTTGTACGCTTGCTTACCACTTGCTTCCTGTTCGCCAACCATAGAGGACATGCCAAGACCTCACTTACTCTCCCCTGAGTTTCTGAAGGCTACTGCAACTGCAACATGTTCCACTCTTTCAGCTGCCCCCCAGACTTATCTAATGCCTTTATTCAGAAATGAGGGAAAGAATTGAAGACTAGCTTCTCCCCAGCTCAAATCCTACAAATCCTCCATCAGTAATACTTACTAGAAGGTTGTTACAAACTGCTCACCCGATGGCACAGGGTTCCCACTGCCCAGCACAGCATCATCCTTCAATTTCAAACAAAAGCTGGAGATGCAGGGAGGTCTATCTTCCATATTTTTCTGGAATGCCCCAAGTTCCAAACCTCCTGGCAAACAGTCACACTCATTACTCATTAGAGGTTTATAGACTTCCATGCCCCTGTGACCCTGCCTTCTTTCTTCTCCATCACAATACATTTCTAAAGAAGACCTGTAAGAACTCTTACTCATCCACTTTTTAGTTAATGCATCCAGGGCATGTATTCTTGGCATCAGTCGGAGAACCAGAGCACAGTGGTTCACCAGGCTACATGCCTTTAAGGTTATAGAGGGCCTTACATTCGCCATTAAGGAACATAGGTATTGCTCTGGAATTAGGATGACACCTTGACACCAGATATAGTTCTCTTTCTATGGCAGAGCCTGTATCCCCACCTTGTGGCATACTCCCTGTCCTTTCTACACTGTTCCTTTACTCGTTTCTTGCCCCCTCCTTATGATTTGAAGTTTAGCAGTTTCTTGTTTCTACTATAAAGAAACTCCAGAGATGGATCAATCAACTTACAAAACACAAGCACAAAACTGATTGACATCAAGAGTTTTATTATTCCTGAGTAACAACAGACAACAGACTTGTATTGCAGAACATATTGTCTTAATATGTCCAAACAGATTATAATGTCAATATCACAAGAAAAGAGAGGGCACATGGTAGGCACAGAGGGTCAAACCATTATCACATATACAAGTCAACAAATTAGGCTATGCTGCCTAAAGCTGGCTATACACCTATAGATTATCTGCAGATTTCCTATGGTCATATGGAAAAAAGTAACAGTATCTACTAGCAGTGTCTTCCTAGTCAGCCCCGCAGGCTCTCAAAATACTTGAACAATGCCTGCATCCAATCAGATTGTTCAGGTATTTTGACAGCAGGCTCAACTAGCAGAATACCGAAGCTTGGCCCAGTGGGAGATTCCTTCATCCACACGGTTTAGCGTAGATTTGTTCTGCTTGCTATAGGAGATTATGATGTACCTTTTTGATTGCTGTCAATGTAATTCTGCTCAACTGTTTCCTTCTTGGAGAAAAAAGAATTCCCTATAAATTAAAAAATTATGAAAAATATCTCTAACTTTTCTCTCCTGCAATCTTATTTTAGGCCAGTGACTCAGAACTGATTAAAGCTTAACATCAATGTTTTATTTTTTCAGACAGTGAGGGGGAGGATCAGAACCTTTGTCAGGATTTTTTTGCAGTCTGTGTACCCTTCAGGGACATCTTTTTTCACATAAATGACCACATTGCACATTGCAACAA